ACTCTAAATTGCCCACACATCTGCATTTGATTTTACTTTATATAAACTTTAATAAAACTGGAAAATAAATAAAACTAAAACTAAATATTCAAACTCTATTTGTACTTTGTTCAGAACATTTGTCAAGTTCAGAGTCTGTCTACAGTAAAGCTAATCAACCACTAGATGGTGACAAAAACCATCACTGTTTCTGCACAGCCTATTCACATTGTGACTACTGGATACAAGCTGAACTTACAGGCACATATGCAGGTAGATTAAATAAAATACTCAATGACACAAATGTTTTACTGGACAGATTTTGACAAAAAGGAAAATTGCACTCTGTAGGCAGAGCAGTTTGACTCAATGTATACATCTACTGATTAAATTCAGTGTTTTTAGATGATGAAGATACTGTATATACTATACATATATGTATATATAGTATATTTGATCAGATTCTTCAAATATAATGTTCCTGCTACACTCAAAAATATTTTAGCCACTAGTGCACACACACTGAGAATGGACTTTACAGTGAAGTAAGAAACATCGTGTCCAGCAGGAAAACTTTAGAAATGAATATTTGCATATTCACAGATTCTTTCTCTTTAAATCTTTAGATTTTTTTTAAAGGATTTAAATGTGGAAATTATACTTTTTGGTGGGAAAGACATATCAGATACAGTAATCTAATATTGTTACAGGAAATATATAATATATTTTATCACATATAACTCCCCAAAATGAAAATTGAGCTGACAATTGACAATCTGGACAAATCCATATATAAAGAGTGAGACCTTGGTGTAAATTTGAGTAACATTTCTAAGGAAATACAGCATCATTTCAGTCTGATGAGACTCACTTTATTTGTTCAGCAGTGCTTCAACTGAAACAGTATGCATATTTCTTTACATTCTGTGCAACAGAAAAACAATACTGTACATGTTTGTATGAAAGGTTGTTGATCTTATATCGTTCAGCTAGAGTCTTAAATTAGGTATTGTTGAAATCTTTGAATCAACTAACAGCTGCCTGAGACCATGTCAAGTGTTTCCATTTAATATCACGTAACACAGAAGATCATCTTTTAAAGTGTTTGCAGTCAGAACCCTTCCCACTGCACTAAACAGGTCCACATTAAGAGTCTCAGCCAAGTCCTTGTTAGAGTAAGACAAACTGTCACTGATACAACCATGTTCCAACACTACCGTACATCAATCTCCAAACTTCTTCACACCATAAATAGAGGCCTGTTTGGATTTAGTTCCGTGGAATAATAATATTAAAAAGCCTATTCCTCATCATCGAGTACATTTGTAAGTCCTTGTAGTCTCGCGATAGCAGCGCTTTGAGTAGGTGCATTGGTGAAAACAGTCCCCACAAACAGAGGCGTTCCTCTCAGGATGTGGCGAATAACTGTGCAGGAGCCTGACGCCTCGATGTGGAAGCCCAAATGTCTCAGCTCCTCCTCTGTTCGCAGCGCGGTTTGACTTGACGGTGATGCAAAGAACTGTTGGGGAACAAGAAGGTGATGGTTTTGTCCTGGTCTGTATTATATTCAAAGGCGTCTCTAATATTCTGGTTTGTTAAACATAGTTAAAAACGAGGAAGAACCTAGAAACAGAGCCTTATGGGTTTGTATGGTTTCAGGTTATAGGAAGATCTAGTTTCTCTTAGTGGACGCCGAAATATCAGGCTATAAATTCCCTGGTATTCACCGTTAATGCATTTCTAGTACGAGAAGATCACTACAACACAGAGAAGAACTTACAGCTGCTCCTGTTGTCGGGTCGATGAAGTCTGCCCAGTAGCCTGCGGTCCACAGAGAGAAGCACATTTCCTTCGCACCGCTCACAAACTGCAGCGAGGAGAAAACGCAGTCAGCAGGTGTTTCGGCATGATGTGACAAATCTAAACTTATAACGACAACAACAACAACGAAACAAACAAACAGCGAAATCTGACAGGACTCACCCTGTGAAACAGCTGCTCTCTGTCCTGCTCTGCTGCGTCCTCGCACCGACTGTTCCTCTGTGTGACCGTTACAACTGTGATGGAAGTGGTGGGTGCCGAGGGGAACAACAGCTCAAGATCTGACACACACACACACACACACACAGTTGTATTACTAAAGGGTGAAAAGGGGTTTTAAAGATGATACAACTTCATAAGATGATTTTTCTTAAAGTAATAATCTCAAAGATTGTAATTTCTCTGCTAGCGTTGTCAGTAAACAACTATGGCTGAACAAGCAAAAAAAAAAGATCGCTGCCAAATGACTGACATCACACAGGCGACAGTTTGGATGTCTGGGAAATGAGGTCCAAAAACACAGCTGCAATTACCGCTAATCACCAGAGAGAAAATGAAACAGATCTTCAAGATTGTTACTTTAAGTGAGTTAATGCCAAATAACCTTCCCTTACCTTTCTTTAACAGCTCAGGGCAGGAGTATACGGAGCAGTCTGTGCCTGTCTGATTAAAGTACTTCTCAGCTTTGTGGACTCTTGTGGATATAGGACCCAGTTTTTCCTAATAAAAACACACACACACACAAAATCGAAATCATTTACTCTGACTGATTATATAATTGTCCTTAAAAAGTGTACTTGGGATACGTGCAGTGTTAAAAGCTGTGTTTGAAAAAGAAAAAAGATTACTGAACTTCCACTTTTCCCTAATTGACTATTCTGCCTGTAAGACTTGTTGGCAGGATTTTAAAAGGTCAAGATATAATATACTTTATTCCTCCATATAACAATTGAATTATACGTTATGTACTGTCTATTTTAAAACATAAAGAGGTAAATGGCATTCCGAAGCCTTCTGCACACTGCCAGGAACATAATTCTGGGGAAGAGATGCTGAAACTGTTATTTATTATTTTGTTAGCATACCTGTAGAAGCTTTAATTGGCTCTTGTTAAGCCCCGACTAGTGAACAATATAACCCGAGTGTCTTCAGTGATAGCTACAGCCCTGCTGCTAAAAAAAAAAAAACGATTAAAAAAAACTTACGTGGAACTCATTAACAAACTGGGCCAGTATGAACTGCTGCCTGTCTGAGCTGCTCGGGGTTGTGAGTACATCAGGCACCGTCCTGTGGACTGGAGTCTTCTTTTGGTCCTCCATGCCCTCCAGGTGGCAGTCAAACCCAGCGTTACCCGGGAGCTGAAAGCGCTGGTCCTGAGGTCCGAATGGTCCCATGTTCTCATCAGGCCACACGGTCCTGGGGCCTGGAGGGGACGGGACAAAGATATTTGCTCCTTTATGTTTTGACTAAAGCCTTTACCTAGTCAGTGCTTGTAAAATATCCACCGTCTCTGCGTACCACTCTCAGTAATTCTCTGCAAAATGCTTAAATGGGTTGCTGGGTGTTAATATACCTGACCCGCCCAAGTAAAGTCTCTGCGAGACACTGAAACATTAATATTTTGTCACGTGTTTAATTCAACATTTGCACAAAGGTTCTAAATAAAAGATGAAAAATAATCTTCTGAAATAATATGAATAAGTACCTCATATTTATTGAGTAATAATATGTCAATGAGGTCATTTTATAAAAATGTTGATATTATTTTCAGGATATGAAATTCCAGTCATGTTGCACAAACCTGAGACTAGACTATAGTGACTGGTTCATTTACTACTTTGACCCACCTGAGTCTGCGGGTGATGCGGCTATGTACGGCTCATCTGAGCTCGCAGCCGAGAAGGTTCTGGTTCTCCCGACACGGAGGGCAGCTAATGCTTGATAGCCAGCGGCCTGAGAGAGGACCACCTTCCCCCGACCACACAGCACCTGCACAGAAACAAAGGCATCCGTTAACACAACATTTGAACAATTCTACATATTCCCTCTGTTTGTTTTATTTATTAACTAAAATTATGTCTTGCTTACTTAACAGAGTCAATATTGCATTAGGGCTGCATGATATGGTATAATATTCACGATTAAGGTTGGAATGATCAGCTTTACATCACAAATCTGATTTAAATTTTTATTAAAAAAACCTTAAGATCATGATGAAGTGAAATTTGTTGGGGTCTGTACCAAACAAACATCTCTTCAGAACTACATCACTTCTTTATAAGTCTTATTGTTACGTCTCTATAAGTTTGAATATTTAACTGCAATGAATTGTGCAGCCCTAATACACATCCACATTTACTGTAACACAAGTTAACTTTTAAGGGTTCAGCATTTGAGTTATTCAAGAAAAACCCCAGAGTTCACAGCTCAGTACAATTGGGATTAAAATCATTTAAACACTGGACAAACAAAAAACACAAGCTGCAGACATTTTGTATTCTGTGTGTAATTAATCAATGATAGTCAAGCAGCTGGTAACTTACACTGCTGGACATTGTGGTTGGGCTCTGTTTGCTTCTAACTTCAACCTGCTGGATTAAAAACAACAACAACAACAACAACAACAACAATCAGAGCAGCAGTCGATTCCCTTTATCAAACAGTAACAACAGGCTGTAGTTCACTTTAACCTTGATAGCCAGGGTTAGTTAACATTACGACGACTGCGTGGAAAACCCACCAAAGGTCGAGTCTACTATAACGTTAAACGTGCTTTACAGGTAACAAATAACACATATAAAGCTCCACAACAACAACAACAACTTCAACACAAACAAATACAGCTCGCCAGCTCACTGCTAGCTGTTAGCTCCAGTCAGCTGATCTCTTATTTTGACACTTTCGCACTGTTTTGTTTTCTTCCTCGTTTGCAGTCAACAAGCACAAAACACCTGACGACGTGGACGATGAACGTCTCGACAGTCTTCATCAAAAAGCGAGCAAATACAGAGCCTATAATGGCGTCACATTGTGAAAAGTACATGTTGTTCTCACCTGTCGACTTGCACTCTCGCTGCCATACGCGTATGCAAAACATCGACGGGAGGTGACGAGGGACAAGCTACTCCTGCGCATGACGTTTGCGCAGCAGTTACATCAGCGGACAGTTTTGGTGCATGTAGAGCTTCAAAACTTCACCTTTAACTGCGCGAAACTGTGCTATTTTAAGACAATATTGATTTAATTTAATTTAATTTTATATAATTTGTAAATACCTCAGACTTTTTGTCCTTGAAACCCAAAGCTGCACTTCAGATATTACTGTTTTTACAAGGTTTAACCACAAGATGGCAGCAAGTTACCAGTTAACAGGACCAAGGACCTACTTGTGTCCTGCAGTGGCCTTCAAGTACCATGTTGATTGGTATTTCTTTGTTTTAACTTAAAGTTTTCATCATGTTAAATTGCCTGCCGTATTTGTTATTTGTTCTCCAGCTTGCTTTGAAATACACATAATGCTGCTTGGACATATAAAGCAGCGAGACAATACACAAAAGGTGTTTCAACATGAACTCAAGGGTAAAAAGACCTACTTCTGTAGATATTTATGGCTTCCAGCATGATGATACTGTTGTCTTGTCGTAGCTTAGACAAATGGCCATGCAGGAGATCCACTGGAGTTAAAGCATATTACTTTTAAAGTAAAACCAAAAGCGTGCAACAACCATCACAGCAGGTAGAGGTGTTAGGAAACAACAGATAATTAATACCAGGTGTAGCAGCTGAAGTATATCTATCTATATATATGTATCAACACCCAGTGCTCTCAGTGTCATGTAAACAATTTCAGTATGTATATTATGACATCCAGGGAAGTGAAAGTGGATTCATAGTTAATAAGTTATTAACCCATTATTACCCAACTTTACCTTGGCTAACCTCTAAATAATGTCCAGAATCAAAGGCTGAGTGTGTTTGTAGTGGGCAGTTCCCAGGTGAGAAACGGTGGAGAAAAGGTACACATGCTCAGCAAAATCCCCAACCTTGATCAATAAAGTTTAAAAGCTAGAATAGAGGAATTGTCCTGGCGAGAACAGTGTCATTTGCTGTCAGAAGTCGTGAAGGACAAGGACGGCCAGTAAAGTACATTTTGCTGGCGTAGACACATCTCTTTAGCTGACTTGGACAAGCTGATTGACACTTTCTCTGAGCTGACAGGATATGCAGTGGGAGTTTACCCTGGGACCAACATGCTTCACTCACCGTGGGCAGCTGCAGCAGCGTGATGTGTGTGTGTGTGTGTGTGTGTGTGGTGATGAAGCATGTGGAACCGCACAGAGCTTGGCTGTCAGTGAGTCTCCCACAGGATCATTTGTAACAGCAACACAGCATCCACCCTAGATGGAGCCCCTGTGGGTTGTACACACACACACACACACACAGATATGCACCAGCATCTGAAAGCAGCTACCAAATGAATTCCTCACCTCAGGCTCTCTCCACAGTGTTGTTGTTTGGAGCTGAAGAGCATCGAAGAACTGACTCTGGTGGATACTCAGTGCTTTCTGTTGTATAAATATTGAGATACAGACATTAAAGCTGCACCTATATTTTTTTTTAAATGATTGATTGACCTGTCTATTGTGTTTAAAATGACTCAATTTGTCAAGAAAATAGCTAAACTATAAATCACAGGTGCCAAGAGCCCAGGGCGACGAGGGTCTATATTCAGAGACATTTAATTTACAGTGATATAAAACGCTGGAACCAGCAAATGAAATTTAGTTGGATAAAAAATGAATCGATGATCAGAATTGTTGTAGAACAATTTTCTGTCAACCCACTAATCAATTAATCAACTAATCGTTATAAAACAAAAGATTGATGGCAGTTTTAGGCTAAATATGAAGCAATAGCCAGAAGGCGATTAGGTTAGCACATTGTATCTTACTTGAAAAACAGAACAAATAAACCCAATAAACTGCAGTTTTATTGGGAGTTACGTGCTAATACAAAGGTCTCATACGTCTTTATGTTAAACTAAGCTAACCACCTGCTTGCTGTAGCTTCATATTTAGCAAATACAGACATGAGAATAGTATCAATCTTCTCACCTGTAGATAAAAACAAATTCTAATTTAACAAAAAACACACCTTTAATACCCATTTTTTAGGTGATTAAACTCTATATACTATATAAAAACACACCTATGAGTATTAGATTAACATTTCTGCCAATAGATCCTCCTAAATGTTACACACTGGACCTTTAAGCAAACAATTAAATGATTTGAATAGAGACAATTGACTGTATTTTTCAGTCAGTGGCTGTGCTCAGTAATGTAAAATAATAGTCCAGTATCAGGCTCTAATTGTCTCTGTGAGACACTTTTCTCTGGAAAGCAGGGACTGGTTTTGCGAGTGGAATTCAAGTGCAAGCGAAGCCTTGAGACCTCCAGACAAAGCCATGAGTCAGTCGAGGTCTTTTTATTGCTGCGCTGTCAGGCCACGCCGGATCTTGTCTGGAATCAGCACTTTTCTGTTGCCATTTCACCCACTGTTGAAAACCACATTTCCATCTCACACTTTCTGAGCCACCTGCCTGTGTCAGCACACTATCAACAGCGCTCACTCCTTAACTAATGATTTAGTCAGAGCCATTAAAGGTCTATTTCCCATTTCCTCGGCATGTGTGGATAACAAACCTATTATGGTGGCAGAGTTTCAGGATTTGGTCATATTTCCCACCCACCACCACCTCCACTTCACTGTTTATCCACGCTTGCTCATACTGGATTTGGACCTCACGTGTAAGGCTATAAATCCCCCATATCTCCAGGCTGCGGCCCAGTTCTCCTTATCACTCCTTGTTTTGTTCTTAGCCAGACCCCACAGCATTTGACAACTGGTTACTTATAACTGTAAATCAATACCCACCAGGACAGAGCATTAACTTAATGCAAAAGTATAACATACACAGATGTGGCATTATCCTTTAAGCTGAAATCTGGGTTTTGCAGCATTTGATGCAGAAACTGGGAACTATATTTACTTGGTTTCCCGTCACAGCTCATATATGTTGCTCTAGTATGCTACAGGTAGTAGCTAGTTAGCATTGCTTAGCATAAAGACTGGAAACAGAACCAAATCAGCCAACTTGCAGCTCTAAAACTCACCAATTAACACATATGATCTTGTTGGTTGAATCAGTTTACCAAAAAAAGTAGTAAAAGCAACAAGTTATGGATTTACGGTGGTTAAGTGTGGGACTATTTCTTGGCTGGGGGCCATGACTTCCAGGAGTATTCACTGGTTGCCTGGCAACCTCATGGTACTGACTAAGACTTCAGGAAACAAACACATTACATGTTATTCTGTGAGCTTTAGAGGTGCTGGGAGGCAGATTTCATTACCTTTAGACAGAGCCAAGCTACCTGTTTCCCGGTTTCCAGCTTTTATGCTATAAGCTAACAATCTAATGGTTGTAGCTTCATGTTCAATGTGCAGACTTGTGTCAATCTGCTCATCTAAATCTGAGGAAATCTAAAAGGCCAAAAAAAATCTAACTATTTCTTTAATAAGACTGAATTGTAAATGTATTTCGATGGTTTCAAGAAGTCCATTTTGTACAAAGCAGCCACACTCTTCGTCATTCAATCATTCAAACAGGTTAACACATGGATTAGTGATCAGAAGCTGCTACTGTCCACAGAGGCTTCACCATCTGGCTACCAACTGCCTGCTCACACCACAGTGAATACTTTCCCAGCCGAGTGAATAAAGATGTCCCAGTTTTTTTCAATATTCTGCCAGAGTTTTTCACTAATTGAGTAGAATTTGACTTTATCTGGATAATACTGCATTTTGTTACAGCTGAAAATTGAGTATACGCTTGCAGTATATCAGTGTATTTCCATTGACAGGAAACCACTTTTGGACGATTTGGTTTTCACAGACCGCAGGGAGCTGTCGGTACTTCCCAGCAGCCTCTGATTTTCACTCAGACTAACTAAAGAGCAGGATAAAGAAATTTCCTACGAAACTACCAAAAACCAAAAACTAAATTTGGGGCAGGGGGGTGTTAGTGTCAGTTCTCACTCAACTTCAACTTCAGCCTACATTTTAGTTATCTTTTACCAATTAAGCCCCCTTTGAATTTGGATATCCAGTTATGATAAAATGGATGTAACCTTCACAAAATAAAGAAGCTTTTAGCTTAGGTTCAAGTCAATTGCCGTTTAAATGTTCTCCTCTCTCCAGCTCTTATAAAATGTGTTATGTTTTGTGTTTTCTCTGTCAAGAACATTTTAACCTTATTTGTAACATATCTGCTTGTCATTGTTGTCAGTCCTCTCCTGCAGCACTACCATCAGTGTCAAGACCCCATCTACAGCTCTCAGGGTGGTGATCCTGGTTTTATGGATGGGGTTAATTTTACATGAATCCCAACACTCATTTTCTTACTTGTGGTGTCTTCCGTGATTAACCTAACTCTGTGAACACAGTCACAGTGGGCACTGATGCAAAATGCATGAACGGCCCCTCCTGAAACATGCATAATTATATGACTCCAGAATAACAGCTCACACACACACAGTGCTACCTCATTAGTGACTGTAAACCCCGGGTTTGCACATGGGAAATAATTGAACAGTTCAGCACTACTGACAACGCTCAGAGCATTTTGGAATCCATTTTAACAAATAAGCACCAGGTGCAAGTATGGAGGACAGTCCATTTTATGATAACAACTCCAGAAGTAGCACAGAGGCTCAAGCAAGTGCAACAAACCGCTGCAGAGGTGATCTTTTGTTTTAATGTTTTCCTACAGAAGACAAATAAAACATGCCAGCTGATTAATATTGGCAAAACACAGTTAGTTTGAATTGTTTGCAGCGATCACAGATTGAATTATATGTTTGCCTGTAGACAAATTTTACATTTCACAAAAACAAGCAACCAGATAGCTTTATAATAGGATAATATATATAGAAGTCTACATTTTTAAATACAATTCT